CAACATTGAAAAGGTAACACAATCAGTACTTATACAAAGTTTTGCATCAAATATGCCAAGTGCTATTTTAATAAGGTAATATAACATGGGTGCCTAACGTAAGCTCCAAGGCTTCACACCAGTCTTCACTTACTAAACCTTAGGTAAATATGTACTCACTAAGACGATATGGCCAGAGAAGAGAATGATTTTTTTACCTGGATCTTCCGGAGGAGAAAGCACTAATACAGCTTCATCTCGTTTGCCATCTTCCAGGAGAAGTGAAGCCAGAGTTATGCGCGCATCAACCGGATCACTGAGTTCATTCAAAGCTGCGAGGAATTTCAGTCAGCAACAAATGGAAAAGTGAGAAACAGAAAATACAATAGACGATAATATTTTTAATTTGCAAGACATAGAAAATCATAAAAGATTTGTGTTTGGAGACCTTCTCAAAACATCCCATGCAATTAACTATGGACAGAACATAGTGAAATTGTATCAATCCCTCTAATCTTGACAAGAGGAGGATATATATGGACAGAACATATGCATCTAAGATCTCTTTCATTCTAGAAAACACATATAGACAACAACTAAACCAACCTCTTACTAAGAGACATTAAGAAAATACCTTTATAATAGAAAACAATGGCCTGTTCTCGTTTTGCCAATGACATATAAGAGCGAGCAACTTTCACAAACAAATAGCCATTCTACAAGGAAAACCACAAAACAAGTTACCCAAGGGAGGAAGCAAAATTGTAAGAGAAGAAACAATGGAACACAACTGGTGATCTCCTTACATTCACAGGTTCACTGATTGCTAATAAATAGTATTTGAGAGCAGAGTGAAAATTCCCAATGTTTGTTAGCTCATCAGCCAAATTGGTAATGAGCTCTGGATGTTCAGATACAGCCTCCCGTGGTAGAATACTTAACACAATCTGCAGATCAGGGAAGCAACATCATTCACAAGAAGTGGTACATCAACATCTGTCAGAAATGTTGTCAATCATATATGCAGGTACAAAGATCACGGAAACAGACATTTTTGAAAACAGAAACCACAAACCATATTAAAGATTACTGCATAAGAGAACTGACATAGAAATATGAATATACTAAACCAATTAGAAGAGGTGTATAGCTTTAAAGCAATCATTGGGATAATTAGCAAGATATACAAACCTCTGCCTGCTCCATTTCTTTAAGGCGAACATGACAGATGGCTTGTCTGATCTTCAAGCTAGAAGACAGTTCTTTTCCTGGATTGTAAATCTGGCGCACGTCATGAATATACTTAAGAGCTCTATCATACGCATTAATTTGCATGAAAACAGAAGCCAGTAAATCCAAGACATCTGGCCCCACTTCTGATGAATGGGATTTGATATGATCCTCTAAGATGCTTGCTGCTCGTTCACCCTCACCGGATTTTAGGAAATACTGACAAAATCAAAAAAGAAAGGTGAAAATAAGTTCACAAAATTGGTATAAATATTTGTCTTTTTCTGGGTAGAGAAACTACATCACAAGGATTAGCAATGCGAAGAAATTTCGAGTCATTCAGCCTATATACCTCGATCCCCCATTTGAGCGCTTCAATTCTCTCAGGATACCGACGAAATATTTGCTCATAGGTTTCAGCAGCGTCTTTATATTTTTCAGCATTTAGGCAGAGGTCTGCATATTCATATTTCAAAGGGATATCATCTGGATCAGCTTGTATTGCTTTGGACGCATAACTCCTCGCTGACAATAAGTCTTCTTGTTCCCTGAAATCATTTACTTTTTGTTACTTACCTTGCCACAGTCGACAACAACTCTAAACAGAAAACAAAACAAGTTCCCCGCTCCCCGCGTCTTCATTCCCCTTGTCTGTATTACTAATTTACCAGGGCTAACAAAGTTGGTTTCTTGCTACTTACTTACTTGCAAGCCCTAAAATCTTTGACTAGGTCTTACTGTAAACAACTATGTTGACATCTAGATAGCCGTTATTAACAAGCATATAGTAGTCACAGAAAAGTACTTTTCGTTTGCCATTTCTGCTGTACAAGATGAAGCAGATGAATACAGGCATAAACAAAGAGAACTTACTTGAATCTCTCATAAAGCAACTTCCAAAAAGGTGATTTTGGACCTTTGATATTTGCAGCAATCTTCAATGCTTCAGTCGACGATGATTCGGTCTTACCAAGATGCTCAGATACACGTGAAAGGTAATAATATGCTGTATCGAAGGTTGGTGCTTGCTTAATAACTTCTACTAAAATAGGTAAAGCCTGGAAGAAAGTAAATCTGAATCAGCCATAAAGATAGACACACACCATTTAGGAAAAAGCAGCAATTTCTTATATGTAATAGTCAAACTATATAATTTGTGGTAGAGAAGGATCAGTTTAGTTATTCAGGAAATTATGAAGGGTGTTCCTGAGCTATGCCTTTCTCTCTAAAAGCACGATACCAAGAGAAAACAAACACTTCATCTGGATTACCTCAATGTCACGGCCATTTGCGTGAAGATAAAGAGCCTCCCTAAACCTCTTAAGAATCTCAGGTGAGACTTCTTTCTTTGAGCCCTGTCTTCTACCCCTTTTTTTCTGCTGCAGAAGTGTAGAAAATGTAATTTTAAGGAGCAAGTGGCAGCAAATGCTGAATTGCCAGCTTAATATGAATACACTTGGCCCATCCTATAATTTCGCTGAAGTGTAGCACGAGAGAATGTACAAGTGAAGCACATGAAAGTCATGCTTTAGAGTTCTATGAGTTTGACGGACGAACATGCAATTCAAGTATTGTTTTGAAGAGTTAATGCCGAATAATAGACAAAAGGTCAAAGTTCTTGCTGCAAGAGACGAACTTAAGACAGAATGTAACACAAGTTAACTAATGACATAAAAATAGTAGATATCTAAAGGAAAAAACACCTTCCGAGACTTTCGTCGGCGACCAGAAGACAAGAATTCCATGATTCCTTCCAGGCCCGAGGTGTTATTCGTATACGTGGCTCTCTTCTCTGATCCATCACTGTCTCATTCACAAATAACTAATCAACTCAAGAAATGTAGGGCAACACAAACGAAGTAATCCAACTAAAAGTTACTTGAATCGGATTCTCAAATCACATTCGCAAGTATAAAGCATTAAGCCAAATAAAGCTTATGGGTAAAAAACTATTCGTCCTCCAAATTTGGCAGAGAGTGATTTTTCAGTTTGAGGGATCTTCAAGCAAGAAGGTGAAGTAATGAAGACATAATGATGAAAGAATTTGAATTTGCAGAATCTCAGAAACAGTCATGAAGAAAAGTAACTGGGCTCAAGGTAATTCTCACTTCCATCTTGGAAACACTGTACCCGAATACAAAAAGGCAAAAAGATGGGGAAAAAACTAACCGTTGAGAATCAGCATGTTCTTTGCGTCTCTTCTCAGCCAGAGCTTCATAATCAACGCGTTGGAATATGTTTGGAATTTCACTTGCAGCTTCTCCTTCTTCTAACTCATCTCCCTCATCATCATCATCACCTCCCTGGTCTTCTTCATCACTGTTTACGTCCTCATCGTCATAGTTGTCATCACTACCATCACCAGCATCTTCTTCCATATTGATTTGACCCCTTTCTAGCTCAGAAACCAAGTTTTCCTCATCTTCTCCCACCACACCCTTTCCCTTATCTTCCATACTTTCTAGAAGAGAAGAACTTAAAAAAACCCACAAAAAGTCCCCGAAATCACGAAGCTTTTACGAGGAAACAACGAAATTGAATCGTTTTCAGAGGAAATCTTCGGACTCTCGAGTCGCGAGGGCTTTCAAGCTAGAGAGATTTTTTTTTTTTTTGTCGTAAATCTCTAGAGAGATTAAATCGAGACTGGACTTTTTTTTTTTGCAATTTTCCAAACCATCTTTCTTTGAATTGAACCGTGACCGGCCTGATGGTTTGCGGTTATTTCTGGTTTAAATGCGGATTCTTTATTGGTTGAAAATAACATAATAGACGCAAAGTTGTCGACGGTTTCGTGGTGTAGTTGGTTATCACGTCAGTCTAACACACTGAAGGTCTCCGGTTCGAACCCGGGCGAAGCCAATTTTTTCCTTTTTTTTTTCTCGAAAAAAATCTATTTCCCTGTAAAAAAAGTAATCGCCGTTGCCGGGTATCGAACCCGGGTCACCCGCGTGACAGGCGGGAATACTTACCACTATACTACAACGACCGAGTTGACCAAGGAGCGAATATAAACTTTATAATTAGATTCACGTTTCGCAACACACTTAGAGAATAGAAAGAACTCTCAATTTTATGATCTATCTTCAATCTACACGCCAGACGACCAATGGCCCAAGGCCCAAACATATTTAGAATACAATGACAAGCGTTAATTTTTGGAACATTATTAATTTACGATCAATTAGTTATAGACACTAAATTGTTGACAAAAAGAAATTATAGACACTAAATTTACATTTTTCAAAGTTCAGCTCGGCAAATGAAGAAAATAATCCACTTTAAATGAATATATTTTCACATTGTACAAGTTTTTTTCATTTGTGTGTGTGTGTGTCAACATACAAACTTAAAAACAGAAAATTTCAAAAGGACAGATATTAGTTAGTGTGTCAAAAAAATTCAGATATTTAGTGAAAACAATCATATTTAATCATTATTAAAATGTTACTACATCTTTCAGTATTTTACCATAAAAATGGTCATCAAAACTATTTTTTTAAAACCGAAAAATCTCAGGTTGGAAGTTAAACTAAAAATATGTTGATGACAAAAAAAAAAAAACTAAAAATATGTTAATCGAATTTTTTACCGTTTACAATTATTATATTATAATGTTGAAATCACAGTAGAAAAACTAGAATTATAGTTATGCATGGTTATAATCGGACTTGTTGATTCAAAATCAAATGAAAATCCAAAATAGTTAAGATATTTCCATAAAAATATCGTAAGTTTACTAAGAAAAAGAGTTTCGTCGTCGCTTTCTCTTTATCCTTTTTTTTTATGTTTCCTCTCCCTTCCCTGTGATGTACGAAGCACGTTAATGGCGGCTCCGCATTTCGCACAAATCGAAATTATAGCATCTTCACTAAACCCTCTGATGTATTCCTTACTCTTTTCATCTCTCCTAACTCTCTCCCTCCTCTCATTCGTCTCTGCTATCTTCTTTCTCATACAAGCTTCCCGCCGCAGAGCTGCTATTTACAGGCAGAAACTCTTATCCGAGTCCGAAACCAAACTCGAGTCTCTATCTGAGATTTCTGACGTAGCCCAGTACCAATCCCTTGAAAATAACCCGACCCGTTTAGCGAATTCGCGTCTCTACGAGTTACTGCTCTCCGATAACAAGGAAGAGTGGGATTGGGAGGAAGAAGATCAAGGAGTGCCTTCAAAGAAGAAGAAGAAGAAGAAGAAGAGAGGTAAGAAGAAGAAATCAGACACAAGAGGAGGTGGAAATGACGAATATAGCGGTGAAAAGCGGGCTGATGTAGGAGATGGGTTAGTTTTGAATCCAAGGTCTTCATCGATTTCGGATTCGGAAAAAATGAAGCCGGAGTTTGTTTGCTTGTACCCTTTTACCTCGACGACCAGTGCTACGCAGAGGAAGATTAAGCAGCAATACGATCAGCTTGTCAAATGCAATACTGCCAAAGGATTGACTCTAGCTCAGGTCAGCTTCTTAGGTTATATAACTGTATTGGGATTTGGAAATCGGAAACTCTCAAAGTCGTGAATTTGAACCCTTAAATTCAAATTCAAAATGCATTAATGTCTACTAAGCTTCTGAATTTCCTGAAGCAATAGGCTTATTCAGCATCTTAAACCTCTGTGGCTTTGAGCTTTGTGGTGGTGTTAGTTCATTATCTAATACTACTTAAGTAGATAAACAAGAAAACTTGTGAGCTGGCGGGGTTCCAGTTATTTCTTATCAGCTTACTTCAATTTGGCATTTGGATTACTGAGATTTCCAACCTTGTTGACTTTAAATTCTCAAGTTCCTTTGGGTTCTTCAATTCTGCAGGTTGGGGGGTTTGCTAATTGTCTGATACAAGCCAAAAATGAATTACAGCACAAGTAAGTTAACACTACCATAAGAGGATAACATTTCCATTTCAGATCCTTTGTCCTTTTCCTACATTTTGATACACACAAGGTTGTTTCTTGTACGATTAAAAATACCTTTATTGAGTGTTCATTTTCCTTGGTGCAAATATCAACTTTGGGGAATATGTTATCGAGAGCTTCTAGATGTGCATATGCTCTTGACACCTCAATAATTCGATTTCTATATGCATAACAAATGTAGCTACTTTGTGTTCTATGCTTCATCCTTAAATTTACCTTTAATGGTGGCTATGTTGGTTGTTTGACTGCCTAGAATTTTCTTCCCCGGTGACGCTAATTTAAGCTTGATTGTTTTATATTTTAGGTCGGCGGTAATTAAGCGTAAGTTTTCAATAACAAAAGCTCTTCTCTTCAAGGCTGATAGATCTTCCTTTGACCGACTTCGTCAACAGGTGAATGTTAGCTTCATCAGTTCTTGTCTGATTTTTGTCTCTCTCTCTTGCTTTGAGGCAAAATGTAACGTTTGTGTCTCATCAGATCTACAAGCTTGAGATGGAACAAAAAAGAGTAGAAGAAGATGCACTTGTTTATAATTGGCTCCAACAACAGCTAAAACTTTCACCTGCATACAAAAAGGTATAATCAAACTCAATCACTTGTTCTGTTGATTGTGTCGTATGTGTCTAAAACCTCAAAATCTGATTCTGGATTAATCTTGCTGATTATTGTTGTTGTATGATAAACCATCAGAGTCTTATTTGTGTTAACTTCTGTCTTGGAATCAGTTAGCACAATTCTAAAGACTTTCCTTGGGATTCTGGTTTCTTTTTTTTTTGCTTAACTATAGTTATAGCCATGAATACTCTTTCTGATACTGTAGGTTCTTGAGATAAGCGCTTCCATGGAACTCAAAAACAATTCGAACAGCGAGCTAGACAGTCCAGATGATGAATTTTCAGACATCTCTTTCGAAGAACTATTGGAACAGGAGAAGAAAGACTCTTTTTGGTTAGCAACGCTCTTTAAAGCTTATTACTAAAGCAAAATTACTTGCACATAGGAATCTTGCCATCTCGATCTTTCAGATCAAAGCCAATAAACTCAGAAGTCTTAGAAACGTTTTTCATTGTAGTATAGCTCATCTCATTCCACTGAAACCATCTCGCTATTTTCTTTTGTGTTGCTATTCAGGCATAAAAATGGAAGATTGCGAACTTGCAGAACGTGAATTGGTGACTGAAACTGTTGTTGCTCTGCCCGGAGAAGAGAACTGAGTTGGACAATTCACAACTACTGGAGCTAAAATGAAATTCTGTCTCGAAAAAATTTGAGTTGTTTGTTATACTACATTGACGTTTTTGGAGGACGAAAGTAGCTCTTTCTTGGGTAGAGTAGGCAACATATATCATTTTTTTTTCTTGTAGATATGATTTCATTCGTAAACAATAAAAAAAAAATTAAAGAGGTCTTGAACATATATCTTATGAAGAATGTGTTTTGTGTACATTCAACTTCTATGAAATTTTGAGTAGCGAAGAATAAATGAAAACCAAGAGAAAGAGGATTTGATTATTGGGTGACTTGAAATTTAGTGAGAGAAGAAATCTATTTATTGACTTCTCAAAATTTGATAAGAAATCTATTTATTGACTTCAACCAAAATTTGCTTAATGGATTTAGTTTTAGTTTATCATTACATCAAAAATTAGTGACCTTTGTTGGTTGAAATGAATGATTTTTGATTTATTATATGTATTTAATGTTATATAGTAAAGTTTATTGCGTATGAAAACATCTAATGTAATACTATGACTGCACATCAATTTCTTGGTTAGATAAGATGATTTAGTGTTCTTTTTTGGTGTTCGAAGAATTAATTGTCGCTATAATCTTTACTTGTCGAAAAAGCCCTCTCTGCAACCAAGAGAATATAAAAGATGCTTGGTTTAACCAGCATAAATTGAGTTAATTTAGTTAAAATTGAACAGAACAATCGATTTGAAAACTGTGTAATGTGTGGAAGGATAAAAAAACGCATACCTACTAGTTTTGTATAACTTCTTTTATACACAACATCAAAAACAAAGAACCTTAAAGGATTTGGTTAATGGTTAATGGTTAATGGTTAAACAGTACGTATGTATTTCTTTGTCATTTTGTTCATTCCTTGATTGAAAAAAACAGAAAAAAAAAAGTATTTTCCGCCTCGAAATGTGAGATTTTCGGCCACACTTTGATGGAGCGAAGTCTCTAACTTAAAAAAAAGCACTGGCCGTGCCTTGCGTCCCATTATCTTTTGCGTCTTCTTCTTTTTCTTCAAGAGCCATGGCTTTGTGCTCCATCTTCTGCCCTAGTATCCCTGTTCGATTCAGACCGAAGCCCGTTTCCCTCTTCTTCTCAAAACCTCTGTTTTCTCTCTCTTATAGGGTTTACTCTTCTCTGCAACCCACTCCCTCCACTAAAGGTAATTTCTTGTTTTGTTTTATGCCTACAAATGTTGCTAAACTCCCACATGCCTACAAAACCATGAATTTGCTTGAATGTGGAGAAATGGTGAAGTATCGCTCTCTTTCTTAGGACAAAAACCACAACTTTCGAGAAAGATGTTGGAATACTGGTCTTGAATTTCCCTTTTTGGTTAGCCTTATCTGAGGAATGGTGGTTTGTGTGACAGATGAACTTGGAACTGTCAGCATTGGGTTTCTGGGTATGGGAATCATGGGTTCTCCTATGGCACAAAACCTCCTCAAAGCTGGGTAAGACTTCTTTTTGCCTCGCATATACCTTCAATAAAGTCTAGACGTCGGATGAAATTTTATGCGTAAACAGATCAATTCACATCAAATTTCATTTTGATATTTTGGTGCTTGGTTGTAGTGTGATGTGACTGTATGGAATCGAACGAAGAGCAAATGTGATCCTCTCATCGGATTAGGAGCAAAGTAAGAATTTTTAATTCTTCTTATAACGAATTATATGATTTATTTCCAAGTGATGTTTAAGAGCTAAATGGCACCTGCGAAACTTCTGATTAACCAGGTTTATCCTGTTTTGCAGGTACAAGTCGTCTCCTGAAGAAGTGACTGCGGCTTGCGATCTCACATTTGCAATGCTTGCTGATCCTGAAAGTGCAGTGCGTATGTTTCGCTTTTGTTTTTTGTTTTGTTTCTTGTTTTCCTTTCTTCTTCCACTCCGTATAAAGACACAAACCGTGTTTTGCTTTTTGTCAGATTGATGTTGCGTGTGGAAAAAATGGAGCCGTATCTGGAATTAGCTCAGGAAAAGGGTATCTACTACCTACTCCTTCATGAGCTTTAGGCTTTGCGTCTTGTTTGTGTTTAAATCTTTCAAGATATCTGGCTTTTCATATGTAGGTATGTTGATGTCTCAACCGTTGATGCTGCCTCATCAATGTTAATCAGCAAGCAAATTAAGGATACTGGAGCATTGTTCTTGGAGGTAAATACTCTTTATAAAAATCTTTTTTGGGATTACTAAGAAAACTTTTAGCATATTGGGCGGCTTCAGTCATCTCTAATGATATTCACAGGCACCAGTTTCGGGTTCCAAAAAGCCTGCTGAAGATGGGCAGTTGATATTCCTCACTGCAGGTTAGTAGTAGCTTATTCCTCACTGAGCTTTTATTAACAGTATTTTATCGTCATTCTATACATTTCAGATTATTTTGCTTTACGGGTGTCTAACAATTTCAGGTGACAAGCTGCTCTACGAAAAAGCTGCTCCTTTCTTTGACATCATGGGAAAGGTATCTCTTATGCTTGTGATTTGGCTTTCAGTTCTTATTTCTTCTGTAGCTAAAGCATTTCATTTTATGATCCAGTCAAGATTCTATTTGGGTGAAGTTGGTAATGGAGCAGCAATGAAGCTTGTCGTCAACATGATCATGGGAAGGTATTGATTCAACCATCCATGGCTTCCTTTCTTGGAAAGTATCAGACTCACCTCCCTGATCTCTCGTCTCATACAATTTGCAGTATGATGGCATCATTCGCCGAGGGAATACTTCTAAGCAAGAAAGTAGGGCTCGATCCAAATGTGCTGGTCGAGGTAATTTAAATACCTTTATTCAGCAGATATTTTCTTCCCAAATCTGGTATTAACCTGGAAAAAACACCTGCAGGTTGTCTCACAGGGAGCTATCAATGCACCAATGTACTCACTAAAGGGTCCTTCGATGATCAAGTCAGTGTACCCTACAGCTTTTCCATTGAAGCACCAGCAAAAGGTTTGTGATAATGTGATATGTTCTTGTTTAGATTCTTACAAAGACTGTCTCAAGTTTGCTGAGACCGGAATGATTTTGTTTAATGTTCTGTATAGGATATGAGACTCGCACTCGGACTAGCAGAAACCGTTTCTCAGTCTACTCCGGTTGCAGCAGCTGCTAACGAGCTTTACAAGGTTGCGAAATCTTATGGATTTAGCGATGAAGATTTCTCTGCGGTTATTGAAGCATTGAAAGCTGCAAAATCCCAAGAAGCTTAGCTAAAGATTTGTTCTTTTTAATTCTGTTTCTTTGTTATATGTGAAAGAGAGTTTCTTTGTTGTATGAAAGATTTCAACTTTACAATAAATGTCTATTGGTGGTGGTAATTGTTAATTTGGATAAAAACCAGTCAAAAAAGTGTCAGCACTAGTCAACCTTTGATCTTCTGATGTTGACAAAGTGACAAGAAGATTGTTTGACCATCGTTGATCGCACTAATACGGTGTCGTTTCGAATATTCCGATGATAAGTTGATAACGCCGAATCAAAATTACTTTTTGTTCAAAAATTCTCAGTGGGCTAAAGTGTTGAAAATTCTCGCCTGAGCTTGTTGTTGCCGTTTTCTACATCAGCCATCTTTGGTTAGGGTTTCTCTTATCTTTCATGTTCAGAATTTTGAAATTTCGATGACATGACTGAAACAAAAACTAAAAAACAACTACTTTTTTTCTTTTTGGATTTCACTCGCTTCACTTGAGCAAAAATAAGGTCTTTGTGTGTGTTTTGATTCAGCTGCAGTGATCGATGGATTACAACTCAGATCGTGGTTATGATGACTCTTACCATCTTCACCTACAAGACGAACAGTTTCCACCGTCGGATTATGAAGTTAGGACTGTTGATGACCGGAGGAACGGTGGTGCAGCCGTCGATACTGGTGGGATGCAGATGAGGCAATCCGTTGAGAATCGCCATTCTTCTTCGTCCATGTCTTCTCCTGGGTTAGTGATATCTTAGGGAATATACTTGGTTTTTTGTTGTTTGTGGTCATATGCTTTTTTCATACTAATCTCCTTCTCAATCGAGCTGGTTATTAGGAGTATGAAGCTAAGATTTTGATGGAAGTTTTCTTGTGTTAGGAAACTATTCGTAGGTGGAGTTTCTTGGGAAACAACTGAAGGTAAGATGCTTCTGGTAGTTTTTGTTTTTAGTTGAGTCCTCCGCATTGCCTTAGCTTTTCATGCCATTTCATTTCTTATATTTGAGCTTCTTGGAGCTGACATGTATGGTTTGTCTTAATCTTGCATCTGTTGTTGGTTATTCTTTCACCCTACTGTACTTCACATTGGAGGACTCGACTCATTATGATTCTCTCCTTTTTAGTTGGTTATATTTCTCTGCGTCTCGGTTCCATTACTTCCACTTTTGTTTTTCAGAAACTTTTGCGAATTACTTTGGGAAGTTTGGAGAACTTGTCGACTCTGTAATCATGACAGATAGAATGACTGGAAAGCCTAGGGGATTCGGGTTTGTTACATTTTCTGATTCAGCTGTTGCAGAGAAAGTTTTGGAGGAAGAACATGTAATAGATGACCGAAAGGTAGATATCAAGAAATTAGTTTTTTGTTTGGTGTATCATCTGCTCAGCTTTTGTTTCTCAGTTATATGTTGGATGCCTTTTTTTTATTCGTATTAAATGTTAGGTTGAGCTGAAAAGAACAGTTCCTAGAGGGGACAGGGATACCGATATCAAAGCGGTATCAAAGACGAAAAAAATCTTTGTTGGTGGACTTCCACCATTTTTGGAAGAAGGTAAAAGTTTTTCCAAGGTTCTCTGTTCTGCCTGTGGTTTGTTACTGTTGCTGATAATGGGGCTTTACATTATTTATAGATGAACTGAAGAAGTATTTCTGTGTATATGGTGACATAATTGAGCATCAGATCATGTACGACCACCTCACTGGAAGGTCAAGAGGATTTGGTTTTGTAACCTTTCTGAGTGAAGATTCTGTGGAGAGACTTTTCTCCGATGGAAAAGTTCATGAGCTCGGTGACAAACAGGCAAGACTCTTCTTACTTAAAAAAAAAAAAAAAAAAATTAGCTAGAAAGAACTTAATAGCGATCTGAAGAACTTCCAATGGATCAATAGGTCGAAATAAAGAGGGCTGAACCAAAGAGAACCGGAAGAGATAACAGCTTTCGATCCTATGGCGCTAGTGGCAAGTATGATCAGGAAGATCTTTATGGTGGGAAAGCAAATGATGATTACAATATGTATTCGGGTTATGGTGGTTATGGTGGTTATGGAGCCTACGCAGGGAACTCCATGGTTAATGCTGCTGGATTTTATGGTTACGGTGGTGGCTATGGCTACGGTTATGGTTATGGTGGTCAAATGTTTAACCTTGGCTATGGAGCTGGCGGTTATAGCCATATGGGTGGTGGGTATGGTGTTGCCGCAGCAGCTGCTTTTGGAGGTGGAAAAGCTCATGGAAACGGCAATAGCGGGTCAAGTGGTGGCAGAGGAAATGGGACTAATGGTTCAGGGCGAGGTCGATATCATCCTTATCAAAGTTAAGAATTTTCAGCTGTTGCAGAGACACTTCTATTGTAGAAAGATGGGCTTTTTTTTTTTTTTAGTTTAAGGATCAGTTAAGCTAAGAAATAGATTGGGATACTTCACCAGTTCTTCACATGTAACTGTTGTGAGAGAGACCTCTTTGAAGCCAAGTTTGTTTTGTGACAACGATGTTATTTAGGACAAAACAGTTATTATTGGCATTTAAATTCTTTAACAAAGTTGTATGTATGATTATGACCAAACTTAAACAATTATAGTAGAATCTCAGTGAGATATCGTTATGCACACCATTATCTTCGAGGCTGATTTGTGTGACCACCAACCAGTTGGTAGGTGTTATAGGATATTGTGCTATTCAGTGCCAGATTGAGCGAACCAAGGCCAAAGTCAACTTGGTTCTGCAGCACTCGAGACAGTTGTCGATCTCTAGCTCAGGAAAGGCGAGAGACTTCCTTTGCCTACTAACACCATTTAGAACATCAAAGATAACGCCATGAATTATCTGCAACGCCAAGATATACAGCAGAGTCTGGTTATGGGCTGTTATTGCAATGATTATGGTGATTGTGAGGGTATGAAGAAAGCGAATAAACAAGGTAAAGCATCAGAGGAGCTAGTTTGGGTCTATCAAGACAAACACACTTCTCTTTCAAAGATTGGTTTGGTAATTGTCAACGCTAGTGTGAAAGGTCTGAAGCAAGCTTAGCTTACCTGGTAGGTTCTGTAAGTTTGGTTTTAGTTTCTTGTGCATCTTCTCAGTCTTTGCGGAATACACTCATCTCTTACCCTGTCCATAAGTCAAGATCATCCTCGCAATTTGTCCCATGGGGTGTAGGGCCTTTCTTCCACATATGACTAACCAAATCCTCAACAACCGGGTAGATGCTCGCAAAGTCGCTCTGTACTGCTGATCCTGATGAGAATTTGTAGACTATCTTCTTTAATACAATCCAACTGCTTCCAGAAACTTTCTTAAGATCCTTTTTCTTGGCTAAAGCCCTAACCTTTGCAGATTCTTCCCATCTTCCGCTAGCAGAGTAAGTGTTAGACAATAACATATAACTTCCTGTCATCTCTGGTTCAAGACTGAAAAGTTGTGACGCTATATCCTCTGCGACGTCCATGTTTTTGTGCATCCGACAAGAATTAAGTAAAGCTCCTAACACACAGGCTTTAGGCTCCATAGGCATGCTCTTCACAATCTCACTAGCTTCTTTCAGAAACCCTACACGACCAAGGAGGTCAACAATACATGCATAGTGCTCTTGTTGGGGCTCTATTCCAAATTTCTTGCTCATCGAATTGAAAATTTCTCGTCCCTTTTCAACCAACCCTGCATGAGTACAGGCTGAAAGAACAGCTACCAAAGCAATCCCATCAGGATGTAACCCGGATTTTATCATACGATCGAACATACTTAGAGCTCTCTCACCAAACCCATGCATACCATAACCTTTGATTATCGAGTTCCATGAGATCAAATCCTTATCCTTAATTGCTTCAAATACTAGATTCCCCTCACTGAGTGACCCACATTTTGTGTACATATTCACCAATGCATTCTGAACCAGAATGTTCTCGCTCATTGAGGTTCGGATCACATGCCCGTGGATTTCTTTTCCCAGATTCAAAGCTGTAAGCTCCGCACAAATGGATAGTATACAACAAATTGTCACTGAATTAGACAAAACTTTGGAAAATTGCATTCGCCGGAAATATTCAAGCGAATCGTCTCCTCTTCCTTGCACGTTACAACCCTTGATAATGGAGGTCCAAGTAACTACATTAGCCTTGACGTTGCGAAAGTCATTCATTTCCTCCAGCTCAGTAAATAACGAGAGAGCCTCGTCGAGTTTACCAGCATCCACAAACGATGTTATCAGAGCATTCCAACTCTCTATACCTTTGTTTCTTATTTGCCGGAACAACTGTTCAGCATCTTTGACTTTCCCTTGCTTCCCGTAGACGTATGTCAATGCGTTCTTCGAGGGCAAATACTCTTCAAACCCACCTTTTATAACATACCCATGAACTTTCTCCGCAGTACTGAATGCTCCTAATTCGGCGCATACAGAGAAGAAAACAGCAAGAGCTTCGCCACTAACTGCATCTCCAGTCATTCTCATAACATCAAAATATCTGATGACATCTTCAAGCTTCCCACATTGAGAATGACAAGATAAAAGTGAAGTCCAAGTCACTTCATCTGGTACAAACTCTTCACGTTGCATCCATTCGAAAACCTTAACGGCACTTTCACAGTCATACTCTTGAGAAAAACCTGAGATCATGACATTCCATGATATACGGTTTCTAACAGGCATTTCAACGAACAGATTGTAGGCATCTCCCATCCTTCCCGCCTTTGGATACAGAGCGAGCAACTCGTTCACCACATGAAGATTCTCTTGCAAACCAATCTGGATTACTAGACTATGCAAAGCCCTGCACAAACCAAAATGTCCCAAGTACCTACAAGCTCGAAGGACCAAGGGTATAATAAACCCGTCCCCTGTGAGACCTCGTTGACGCATTCCCGCGTATAGCTCAAGCGCATCCTCGTGTAGTCCATGAGACACATTAGCTTTCAGAATCGAGTTCCACAAAAGCAAATCCGACCACAAAACAAGCGAGACAGTCTCAAACACGTTACGTGCATCGAGAAGGAGTCCTAACCGGGAGTAAACCGATACGAAACTCGCAGCTAGTGACCCAGAACGGTAGATTAAATCGGATACAAGTACTTGGGCATGAACTTGCCGGCATTGCTGAGCCGTCAAGCATAATTCAAGAACACGATCGAAATAATGGAAGAGGGATTGCTCATTACTAGTCGTAAAGGACAAGCACGATGAAATTGGAACAACCCTTTGAGAAGAAATCGGTGTATGTAGACATTGAGAAGTGTGGAAACAACGATTACGAAGCCGCCAAGGAATTTCTTGAAGACGAAATCGCCAGAAAGAAGCGTGAATCATGAAGTAGAAGAGGGAAAAAAAAATAGAAACTTTGAAAGTTGTGAGCTTTGAAGCGTTTATAAATTAAAAAATTTTAAATTTGGTTAATATAATATTTATTACATTATTTACAATATGTAAAAGTGAGTTAATATGCACGTGTAACAAACTAAATTAGCATGAGGATTTCTTTTACAAAGGCGTTTTGTCAGTGACCAAAAAAAAGTCAACATGGACATCTAATAACATGTGGTGACCACATGGTCTTTTATGTCCAATGAGACATTATCATTTTGATTCCAAACACTTATTGACCTGGAATTGACATTAAATTTGATAGTAGAAATAAGATTTTAAATGAACATACTTTGATTAACCAAAAAATTCTTACTTTATTTTATTTGTCCTTTTTTACTTACCAGACCTCTATACTCTTTCCGCTTTCAGACAAGTAGCTAAGTCGTCTTAATCCAGCGGCGTAACAACATACGTTAACTGGTAAGTTTTAGAAGCAGTGCATCTCTTATATCGATTGGAGATAAACCTAGTATATGTGATTGATCTATAAGCGTGAATTATATATTTTGATATACACTGTTCTATTGAAATTGGTTTTTAATTAATGTAGTCGATGTAGTATATTCTAAACCGATTTAACTAACCAGATCAAAATAAAAAAGCTTTTTTAAGATTCTCAACTACTTGAAATATTAGTATTAGTATTATTTTGTGGAAAACGAACAAAATCCATCACATGTTGGTCGTCGTTTTACACCAGAACACCTAATCTCCTTTTGTTGTTGATAACTACATGACACCTGATTTTGAATCATTGTAGCTTTGCTTTTTCTAAACATTTCACCGACACCTTCTACTCTTCTAGACCGTAATGCGACGTAACTTTGCACCCACACTTGAATAAAATAAATTACTCCATGAGCTCATTACATACAAATACGTACAATCATTCATAGGTTTGTAGGGTATATTTATGTGCGTATTCTCATACACCACACACATGGACCACATGGACTAATGGTAGCTTAATTAATTGTTACAACAAACATACTCCAGAAAGAAGCCAGCTTAATTGTCTAGTTAAAGAATAATTGACCAAAGCACTTGTACTAGTGGTCACCTCACTTGCATTATTTACCATCTTTAATTAAATAATTTCTTATAATTGCGTATTACTCTCTCTCTCTCTCACGTTTTTCTTTGTCGTTGTTAAGTTGTTGTTGTGCTAGATCAACACTATTAAAAATGGTACTTAGAAAAGTTATAGTTATAACCAAATGGTTTATCTTATTTTTTTTTTTTTGGTTTTGTATAAAGCAAATGAAACAATTTTCCTGACTAATCACACAGTAATGCTCATTCCTCAGACCGAACATATATAATATCCTCATTTACATATCCCAAAAAACTAAAGTCTTACGGAAATGGAAGAACTGTATATGAAGTCAAATTATGAAGAAATGAAAATTGAAACAATGGATACAGTATATTAAAACAAAAAAGGGAAGAAGAAGAAAACTACAAATGTGAATTCCATTTTCCCCTCTCAATGTTTAAAAAGTAATTTCCCAGATCTTGTACCGGAGATCAACCGAACACTTGGCGTCGGAGGTAGTCGCCGTCGTCGCCTTGTTCCCATTCGGAGCCACCGCTTTAATTCCTTGGCAAGTAACCTGAATACCTGATTTAGGGGTTACCAAAGCTCCCATCTTCAAATTCACGTTCGTTTCAAGAACAACCTTAATCACCACTCCTTTCTTCTCCTTGAGCTCTCCTTTAAGCTTAGTCGCCGACTCATCGTCGAGGTCTCCCTTAGGACTTCCGATCTCAGCTACGAGCAGAGTCGTGTTCTTGCCACCGTGGACAAACGAAGCGATCTTGCCTTCACCGATGACGACGTCATCATCTTTCGGTGACGTTTTGTAGACGGTGATGTCTGTGTCGTCGTAGTTGAACCGGACGTTCTTGTTCGGGTTTCTGGCGATGACGGAGAGGGAAATCGCGGTGGTGAGGTGTGTTGCGGAGGTGAAATTGAGAGTGGAGATTTTGATGGAAGAGACGGTGAAGCTTGGCCGTTGAGGACGGTAGATTAGGTATACGATGGCGGATGCGGCGGCGACGAGGAGGACTAAGAGTATGATCAAGAAAATCATCCAGCAGCAGCAACGACAGCAACAACCACGGCCATGGCTACGGCGGCGACCGCCTGGTGGTGGTGGAGGGTAAGGTGGACGATTTGCGCGCTTGCCTTTGGGCCCCGGGACTGGTGGGTTGATTGTTGGTTCGCCGCGGCCGCCGGGAGGTTTCGATGCCTTGGAAACTTTGTCTTTTCCCATATCGGAGATTCAGAGGGAGGGAGAGAGAGGGAAAGATTGATTAGAGGAAGAATCAATTAAGGGTTAGATTTCGAATGTGTGTGTTTTTCTTTATAAGATATATATGATGATTGTTGGAGATTTACAGTCAAGGTTAAGCCTCTTTTAAATGGCTGGTTGATTTAATTATTACTTGGAAAAAAAAGATTTAGTGATGCAACATTTGAACTCAAAAAACCAAAAAAAATCTAGCAATATTAAGGAGGTGACTAGATTTTTGTTAGCTATAATATCCTCTATATTATATATTAAATGTTATGATATTTTTATAGCCTAACATATATGCACCAAACAGACTATTTTTCTCTCCTTTCTGATTTTTTGTTAAATTTTCTTCCTTTTTAATCTTATTATTATTCAAGCTCACAATTTTAGTTAAAAAAACAAAGATTTTTATTCATATATGCCATACTTTAAATTTCTCAAAAAAATAAATAATATTGTAATCAATAACACATTGTTCTCTATAGATTCATAATATTATTTTATATAGTATCAAATATCCTAAAAGTGCAAAAAGATATGTGTGTTTTAGTGTGATTGTAAAATTTAATTTATTGATAGTAGAATTTAAATGAAAAGGGGATTTATGAAAGAGATGAAGAGATGGAATATCAGATGATTACTTGTTTTGTTTGATAGTTTAATACTTTAATGTGCTATATAGATATTAATATAGTATAATCCTATATGTTTTTGTTTTTGATTTTTGGTTATTCAATATATTTATTTTTTAAATGAAAGTGGTGGAGAGGGAGAGAGGGAAGCGAAGAAAAGCGAGGGAGACCGACAAAGAGAGTGACAGCTAAACGCGCGAAGAGAGCTTACACGCGTCACATGAGCGCGTAGATGTCACGCATTGGGAGTAAACGGTGCACAAAAGTCACGAGAGTCCAGTTGTTATCTGCTAAGCATTTTGGGAGGGAAAAAAACTAATGTAATTAATTTACATATATATTCTGTTAAAAAGAATTTTATTGTCATTAGTAGTGCATATTAGATGATCCGTTCAAATTTTATTCAATATATTCACACCAATCTTTTGGTAAATTTTGTTAGTACATGCATTTTCCAATAGAAGAAACAAACAAAACTTTATTTATAAAACATAGGAACAAAATTGATACGTGTATAGGTGAGATGAAACGTGAAATCATACACCAAACATATTTTCCTTTGTATTGAAGCAAAGATATATGAAAATCCCAATCAAATAAAAACAACTGATGATTAGTCATTTTCCATTCAAATCTGATCCCACATAGCTAAGATTAAATTTTGAATGCATGTAATTAAAATTTGGGTTTTATTTAGTTATGCAAATACGTTATTTAAAGAGAAAAAATCTCTACACCAGAAAAAAAAAACTAATCGCATATTATCCGGACTAAAGAAAAAAAGGTTTTTCAATAAGCATGTGTCGCATAAGTTTAGAATGGTAAGCAATTAGAATAACATTGCATATGCATAATGCATGCATGTGATTTATCTCTTCGTTTTCTTTTTCTTTTTTGTCGTCAATTGATATATCTCTTCCTTTAATATTACGAAATGTAAGAAAACTTGCATGCCGTAGGTTTGTTTGAATGTTGATGGATACAATAACGACAAGGCTGCGTTAGTGGGAGCAGTGAATCGGTTTGAGAGGGCGTTAGTGGGACCAGTGAATCAGTTTGAGAGGACTCAATCATATGTAGCATCTAATCATCCTGTAGATAGATTCAATAATTTTTTTTGATGATGAGAGAGTTCTGCTCTCTGTTTGATGGTATATATTTGGTTCCTTAAATTTTTTTGTGAACTTTGGAATTAGAATGATCTTGAGTTGTTTCTGTGAAACGTAGTTGTGCAAGTATGAGGGTTTATTGTAAATTTTTGAGAGTTTTTTTGTCCTTTACCAGGTTTAGCAATGTAACGATCATACCCTGACTTGAGTGACTTCAAAGTAAATAAAAATGAGATGACAAGAAAAAAAGGAAAAACGACAAGCCGATATAAGCCGGTGGTGGAGCGTGGATATGGTAACGACATAATAAGTATAACTATTTAAGGTCCTAAATTCCCAATTAACGATATGCCTACACATTTTCATTTTCTGGATTGGGCTTCTTCATTACATACATAATAAGTGCACACACGCACACTCAAAATGGCCTTCATATAAGAGAAGCCCAGGTTTATTCGTTAATAACTTATCCTGCAAGCAACCCGAGAGATTGCCTACAGAGCTACTACACAACTCAGAGTACTGATCGGATCAGATTTGTTCACCCATTTGTTGCTTCTATGGAAGTTGAGATGTTTGAAGTTTATTTGCTCATCTCAGATGGTTTACCATTAATATCACTTACTTGATTACGAAGTTTGGCTTGTTAGTAAAGTTCTCTTACTAGTAAGAAAAAAAAAAGAATGGTAAATTCATTCGAAGCAAGGGCCAACAAAAACATGGCCAGCAATCTAATAAATACTTATTTTAATTCACAAATTACAGTTGCAGTTTTCTTTTTCTTTTATTAATAAAAAAGTTTTCCTACCCATTACACCCATATTAATAGCAGAATATTTCCTAGATATCGATCGGGTAAAGACAAGTGACTAGTTCTGTCTGAAAATCTTCATTCTGAGCTTTCCAACAAGAACATGAAGCTGGTGTTTTGGCGAATCAACGGAGGAGGATCGATCTGTGCAACCTCTACGTTTTGCATCGACTTCGAGATATCGTCCAGCGAAAACGGGATGCTGCAAAAGAATCCCCAAGACTCAGAAATTTATCAAAAAGGTGTTAAGTGAATCCTCAGTGTTTGTTTTGTTTTTCTTTCTAAGGTTATTACCTCGAATCGTCGTCTAGTAAAAACGAATTGCTGATCCGGCCGTTTTCCCCTGAAACAATAGCCCGCATGCTTGACATCACCTGCATAGCCCTTTTTGTGTCAGGCGAAATTTTAAAGGAACATGCTTAAGCTCTTCTGTTTCAATTTTAGTTTATGTTACGTCTCAATAATCTTGGATATTCTTAAAACATGGCTCGGAAAAAGACTAATGGTAACACTCGACCGGGCAGATGAAAGTGAAAGCAAGAGTAGAAAATATTCACTTGCCTCTGAAGATACGCTATGTGTCCCGTATTTGTCATCCCAATACATAGTACTGATCCTGTACAGTTGCTGTACGCTAAGCACCTGCAGATAAACAACAAGTCTCGTTAAATTTACATGAGATGGATAGATGAACAAATTAGACTCGAATGACAACTTTTAACTAACCGGACAAAGCTCGCTAGTTATCTCTTGTAAGCTTTTCTTAGGCTTCTGATGTATAACCAAGAAGCCAACAGCTTGTCTGATGTGTTTTAGTTCATCCCAAGCCGAACCAGCAAACTAGAACACAACCAAGAGCATCTTTTAATAAGCAAACTGTCGGAAAAATCCAGAGAGAGGATTTGAGACATCTATTACCTCCTCAGTTGCATCATGGCACCAGTGTTCCAGCTCTGCAAGCCCTGTTTTTACATACTCTCCATTGCTAAACGAGCAGCATTCACGTCTTAAAAGAAGGCTACACGATTGATTAAAAAGGGAAAGACATAAGTGGACATGTTCTATATAGTGACATGACAGTTGCAATTATAGCACATTTACCTGTTAAACAACTGAACATTAATGAACGAAAATATCTGCGCGAACACTTTAGAAATTAGCAACGAAGGCACCTGCAGTTTTGGAAAGGTTCAAAATTTGTGAGAAATTAGAACGTAGACACCGAACATATTTCAGCTTTGGCTGAAAATTTTATTTTTACTCACATAATTGGCCCTCATAGTCCTCAAATGGCCGTCCAGACATGTGACAATGCTTTGCCAATGAGCAATTAGCGCTTTTTGAGCAACAAAATTATTTTGTGTACGTCCCTTTATTAAACCAGAACGTGGTGTCCTTGGTACCTGTTAACATCAAACAGCAAAACAAAACCCAACTCAGGGGAATAATGCCACAATAATATAACATATATTATTATCTGTGCGAGCAAAAGTAACAAAAGCGAATGCCTACCTGAATGCAAGAAGCAAGCATAGGCGCAATCTCTTTCTTCATATGGTCTCGGATCATTCCATATATCTTTTCTAGGTAAGCGGTGAGTTGCTGCTTGAAAAGCAAAGCAGGATATTTAGCTTCCACTTGACGTAGTTCGTCTAGCCCACCCCTTCCATTCATAAATGAGAATCCAGCACTTTGTGGAGAACCACGGAGACTCTATTATGCAAAATAATTCCATAACAAAAGTGAGTTTAATGGAGTTAAAGCATTTTAGAGAGACACACACAAACACTTCTAACAACCTGAGACACCCGTCCAAACAAAGATGTAGACATTGCCCGATGCCTCGAATGAGGTATGCCACCAGCTTTCAGAGTGCGTTGAAGCAACATTAAAAGTGTCGCGGCATTGGATAACCAATAGCATAGTACATCGCTGTTATCTTGCATCTGCAAAGATGTAAAATTTAACATGAGACAACACATGAAGCAGGAAAGAACATTTGCGTTGGTATGAAAGAACATCTAAGCTACCTCGATGGCAGATGCTATCGTCTCGATTATACGATTAAATATACTGGTTCTTTCTACTTCGAAAGATCTCCAGTGTATCAGACACTTGTATATCAGACAGGCAGCAACAGGCTTGCCTTCAGAGAATCCAATATCTTCCGAAATAGACTTTAGTAGTAGCTCTTGATTCTCCTACAAGATGAAAAAAAAAGAACCGCATATAATGGAGTTTGGAAAATGCTTAGTGACATTTAAAAGCATATAGTTTCCCCGCAAATGAAATATGTGACAAGGCTTTAAAGTGACAGCTACCTGCTGTTTCTGATTAAGCGATTTCTGGGGCCTATCCTCAGTTTCAGGTTCCTGGAGAAAATCATCAAGTATTATATCTCCATCACTGTAAACAGTAATTAGACAAAGGGACCTCTTTTGTTTATTAACATACCTGAACTTGTTTTGTTTCTCCATTGGAGAAAGTATTCCTCTCGGGAGTTCTCTGCAATTCCAAGGAAATA